AAATCCAAGAGATATTTTCTTCCAGTGAAATATGACCGGAGCACTCATTTTATTTTCAGCAATTCAGTCTGTTTCCATGGCAGCACTGCGGGATTCCTTGGCCACCATGAGCCGCATGAGCTGACTGTGGAATTTCTCGATCTTCTTTACGTCTTGTGCCTGGTCTGTTCTGTACAGCAAACACTGCAAGAGAAAGTTGCTGAGTATCAGATTTCACTTGAACTGTTTTATCTTGTTTATAGTTGCAACACATTTGTGCTTAGAACACGCAAAACAAGGAGAGTACTTAAATGTTCATTTGTGGCATGTTGTTACCATGAGGCAGCACCAACACATCCACGCTGTTTCAAAATATACACATTATCAGTGTTTACATTTCAGTTTCTCCTAAACAGTCATGCCTTCCATTTTGAAAACAGGGAAGCTCATAATTTATACTAATTTCTTCTAGCTCAAAAAGGCTGTTAAAGATTGGGGTTTAAAGCTGTCTTTAAAGACACTCCTCTTTGTGTTGTCTAAACATAGAGCCAGATTTTAAAACTGAAGTTACTTCCCTGTTCTCTGTATTCTGAAAGCAAGTTCATTTTGCCTTTCACAGTGCTTAATGTTACGCTGCCAGGAACATAAAATCAGACAGTATTTCCCACTGAAAGGGATCCCCTCCCTCAAGCAAGATCTGTTTCTAAGACAGCCTAAATAAGGAACATAGCATCTGATTAGGATAAAAAGAAACTCCTTCATGTGACAAGCCTTTAATAGCAAGGAACAAGGGTAATATGCCAGTGACTTATCATAGAAAGACTGTGGTAGTTTGTTTTTTGCTTGGAGACTAAGTATGAGTATGACTGCCCAGGCTGATGCAGCAAAAAAACCAAAACCACCCAGAATACTCCATTCTTCAGCAACTTTTGTCATCATTGAATTCCTATTTTAATTCAGAGGAAGACAGAAGGAAACAGTTTATTTTTCCTTCAGCTATATAAGTTCTACAGATTGAGCATCAAGGAAACTTCCTTATCACCTTTAGAAAAAACCCCCACAACAAAACACAAAAAAAACAAAACACCCCCCCCAAAAAAGCCAACAACAAAAAACCCCACCAAAGCCACCACAAAAAACCCCAAACAAACAAACGAACAAACAAACCCCCAACAAACCAAAAAAACAAAACCAATCCCCATTTTCCCCCACCTGGTGTAACATCTGTGACTGGAAACAGGAAGGGCAGCCTTACATACCCCAAAAGAGTTCACATTTGTGAATCACCTGACTCCAACTTCCCCTATGGAAGATCTCAACAAAATTGCCCTTCACTTTCCCCTGTTATCAGCACCCCACACTCCACATCTCTCCCACATTAAGTCCTATTACCCTACCAAGAAGTGCCATTACTGTACTTTCACATCCCTCCCAGGCACTTGAAATACGAATGCCAGACTACTTCTCAAGGAAAGAAGAAAGCTGGTTTTTTCCAAGTCTGAAGAGAAGGGCAGAATACTGCTGCCCACTCTGGACTGCAGAAAAACAGCTCCTCAGCTATAACACCACTGTTGATTAGTTGCGAAATCACAAAGAAGGAGCTGAACCTGTGGTTGGAAGCTGTCACCACTCTAAGCAAATAAGGATCACACTCACACAAGTAAACATATGTTTGAAAATGCTCCTGAATTGCTTCAGCAGAAGCTACCAATGTTGTTCCATGAAGCAAGTTCAGATGGAGTGAGTCCAAGATTTCTGTAGTGCTCGTTTTCCTTGATTTGACAGAATCCTACAATAATTCTGTTGAAATCCATAAAGAACACTGAAGTGTTAGAACTTTTCCTGGACTGCACAGAGTTGAACCACAGGTCAGTGTCAATCACAAACACAGCAACTAGGGAGGGCTCAGCAAAAGGTTTTAGAAAACTGTCAGGCACTCTCAAGGCAGTGGCTAAGAGCTCCCAAGTTGACTGACAGCAAAATGCAAGTCTATGAGAGCACAACAAGCCCTGAAAGGGGAATTATTCTGTACTTACAGCTACGTCATCTGTTACTTTGATGCAGAGGTTCCCATCACAATGTCGGTATTTCAGAACAACTCGCACCTGAAATGACAAACACTTCAAGAATTAGCACCTAGAGCTAACAATTTTCAGAACATATTGAAGGAAATCTGCCCACATTCAGACTACTTTTTATTATAATTATGTACTACTTCCTGTTTTCACCACCTCTGTGGTGGTCCTCAGCTCTGCAGGCTACTAACCCTACAGCCAGGGTGGTGTGGAGTTGAGCCATCACATTTCCCTGCCTAAAGCGTTAAACTGGTTTTATAGCAGCATCAGCAAGGTTAACATTGGGCACATTCAAAAGCACAGTCAAAACAGCAATGGCAGTTGCAGAGACCTCAGTGACAGGCAGGATAAACTGTGAGAGCCAGTCGATACAAGACACCCTCTCACTACGTATCGCACTTCAGAAAAACTAACTGGAAGCTTGTGTTTATAAGCTTGAAATACTTAAAAAAAAAAGTAGCTCTTCATGAAGACCTGAAAGGCATTAACTGAGTGAGGTAAGCTCAACATCACCACTTTTCTACGGTACCTGAACTGTTATCACAGTTCCTCCTGCAGCCACCTGCCCTGAGCCCAAACCTACCCAGTCCCTCTGGATCCTCAAATCACCAAAATTCCCAAAGCCACAGCGACTTTGTATCTATTGTTTCTAGCCTCACCTAGCACCAGTAACTAGAAACAAAGCAAGGTGGCCTTTGAGAACATTCTGAACTCACACTGTAAACAGGACTCTACTGTACGGAGTGACTCGTGCTAATAGTCAACCAGCTCCTTCACTGCAAAACACATTTTGAAATTCCTGCTCCAGGATAGACCTCATCACAGATGTACCCTTTTTGTTTAACAAGCTGTCACCTTCTGATCACAGCACACATCCCTGCTGAGCAGGCCCTAATGCACAGGAGAGGCTGCAACAAGCAGCAGGCACAGAGTTGATACATTGAGAACTTGCTCTCCCCAAAGGCCAGACCACTCACTGCCTGGGTGGAGAACACTCACCCACCTCCCCCAGCTCTTCTTCCTTCTGTTTCCCAGCAAGCTCAATTACATACAAAAGCTCCTCAGGCTAATCCTTTGCTAAATTAAAAGGAGGGTACTTGTGTTATGACTCTGGGGCCCGTATAAACTCCTTTTTAAATAGATGAGTTTATTGCCATAGATGAGTTTATTGCCATGGATGAGAAGAGATTTCCTTTAAGAAAAGGGGAAGAGCAACTCCTGGCTGCAGAGACATTCCTCCTCTTCACTTAATCGAATGTCACAGAGCATAAGAAGGCAAAACTGGGCAATTTTATTATCACAGATGGGTGGCAATTACATATGGTGTCTCTGTGCTAATTAAAAGGCAGATGTTCATCTGCCTTAAATAATCAGATGTTAATTTAATCTTCTGAAGGTTACTCCACGTCACCTATTTTTGGTGAAGGAAACTAGGCCTTTTTTACTGAAGTTTTCTCAGGTGTGAATTCCACATTACATTTTTGTGCTCCTTTGTAGCTGAATTATAATGCCTTTTCTGAAGACTGAGGTTACTTTTAATATTTACATAAACAGTACTCCAGAAAAAGTCACTAAAAACAAGAAGTAGCCATATATTCCAAGAAGTTAAATCCTTGATTAATTCCTCTTTGGGAAGCAAACACCTTCCAGTCTGTAACGTCACTGCAGGCAACAACGCAATGTAGCAGCTAATGAAAGCTTTCTTTTAACTTTTTCAGGAAGACAAATTCAAATGATAGAGTCTTAAATGTGAACTCATAAAACAAACCAATTCTCGATACGCTCTTCATTCAGCAGAACTGAACCTCGGTTTCTATCACACAGGTACACTGTGAGTAAGCACAATGGCTCCGAAGTTAGGCTCTCAAGGTTCATCCCAGATGCTGACACCACCACCCAAAACACATTTTTGGGGTGATAAACAAGAACTGCCCGTGTTTTGTAGAAAAGGACAGTCAGGTGCAACACCAGCAAGTAACCTGTCCCTGGAGCTGCTCTTCCCCCTGTACTCAGCACTGGTGAGGCCACACCTCGAGGTGTGCCCAGTTCTGGGTCCCTCAATTCAGGAAGGACATTGATGTGATGAAGTGAGTCCACAGAAGGGCAACACCGCTGGTGAAGGGTCTGGAGCACAAGTCTTACGAGGCGCAGCTGAGGGAATCAGGGGTGTTCAGCCTGGAAAACGCTCAAGGGTGACCTTATCGCTCTCTACATCTGCCCGAAAGGAGGTTGTAGCCAGGTGGGGGTCGGTCTCTTCTCCCAGGCAACGAGTGACAGGAGGAGAGGACATGGTCTCGAGCCACACTAGGAGAGGTTTAGGTTGGACATCAGAAGAAATTTCTTCACAGAAAGGGTGACTAGACATTGGAATGGGCTGCCCAGGGAGGTGGTGGAGTCACCGTCCCTGGAGGTGTTTAAGGAAAGACTGGACGTGGCACTGAGTGTGGTGGTGTGTTAGGCCATAGGTTAGACTCGATGATCTCAGAGGTCTTTTCCAACCTAATTCATCTTGTGATTCTGTGTTTCTGCCTCCCCAGACCTGCACCACGGAAACCCCCCCGCCCCGAGCCCGACACCGCCCGCCGCCCCCGCCGAGCTGCTCGCAGCCGGGGCCGCCTACGGAGCGCCGCTCCCGCGGCCGGGACGCGCTCCTCCCTTCGCGACCTGGGCTGTCCCACCTTCATGGGGTCGGCGAGGTAGAGCTTCTCGGCGGCGCGGGTGAACTCCTCCCAGGCCTGGAAGTGCGGCATGGCCGGCCCTACTCCGCTCCCGCGGCCGCGAAAAGATGGCGCCCGGGGCGGAGAGGGGGGGCGGCCGCGTGAGACGGCGCCTCCCATTGGCCCACGGGAAAGCACCGCCCAATCGCGATGCTCGTGACTCGGCGCTCGTCGCCACAGCGCCCCCTGGAGGCGCGGCGGCATGGCGGCAGCGGGAGGGCTGCCGGCCCCGGGACCGCAGGTTCGAGCCCCGCCACCGGTGGAGCGGCTGCCCGGGACCGGACCTGCGGATCTCTGCCAGGCCAGGCCAGGTGCGGGCTCTATCCGCCTCAGCCTCCCACCCTGAGCCCACGGAGGCGGCGGACACAGGGGTGGGCCGGCGTGGAGCCTGGAGGTTCCGGTGGGAGGTGAGCGCAGGGCCCCGGGCCGTGTGTCTGAGGTGCTGTGTGAGCTCGGCTGGCATCGCAACTGCATCAATTCCCGGGTTTTCCCAGGCTGCAAGGTCCTTTCTGAGGCTGGAGGTTGGCTTCATATGGAACAAAAAGGGTATTTAGGAGCCCTCGCAGGTTTCCCTGGTCCTGGCTGAGGGGTGCTTAGGAAGGAATTGCACTGGAACTAAAGCTGCTGGTTTGGGAAAGTGGCTCAACGGCATAAAATAAAATCATGAAATAAGGTCTTGGGGAGCCCTGCTTTTCAATTGTGTGTGTGTGTGTATGTGTAAAGTATTTACATAAAACTTACTAAAATTCATTTCAAAAGGGAAATGAGGGAGAGGGAAAAAAATTCCAAGATTTCTCCCATTATATTTTAAAATACCATTCCCTGAAGTGCTTTTCGTGCCTTTATAGCACAAAGCCACAGAGCTAAGCTCTGATCATGTCACACAGCTTGTGTAACTGCTGCGATGACAATAAACATGTAAAACTTGCAGTCTCTATTCTCTATTTCATGGGGACACACTGAGAACCCAAAAGCTCCTGATAATGACTCACAACTTCAATTTAGTTTTACTGAATGCCTCAAACCTCAACAGTGTGGCCAAACAAATAAACTGGAAGGTTTAGGGTAGATCTGCATGTGAGGGGACAAATTATGCAGGCTGTTGCAGTCTCCACTAGCAACATGGGGAAATACTATAGCTGGAGGTTTTTTTGACCACAAAAGGCACAATAGGCCCAAGGGAAAACGAAGAAATGTGGCATAGAAATAAAAGCGTGATTGGGAGGTAAGGGGAGAAAAACTAGAATGAATTTCCCTGAGTCAGTAAAGCAGAAAATAATTGTTACTGTGGGGATCAACTCTGAAAAAGTCTGCAGCGATTAGGCTGCCAAACTTCATAAATTGCAACTTGTGGGTGTTATGTGGCCTAAACAATTCTGTTAAAGGGCTTTGCACCAATGAGTGGAGGTTATGGAGAGTGGAGAGATTTAAGAATTTGGGGTTTTTTTTCTTTCTAGACCAGCTCACAAAGTTTAGATGCTTGTGTGTCTGAGAACTCAGATGTAGAAATATAACAGTTGTCTTTCAGAGATGCTGATAATCAACAGATCTCATTCAGGTGATAGAGGTATTGAGAGAGCCTAAAGCAATCAGCCCAAACACTGGAAGCACTGGAGGGAGTGTTTCTTCACTACATTAGGTTTTGGGTAGCTATTTATAACAACAAAGTGGGAATTGTGTTTGGTGGTGTTTTACAAATATGTAGAAGATGCAAATATGTGAAAATGAAAGATGTGGGGGAGCACAAATTTGTAACAGGTATAACTTTTTACAGAACCATTGTTCACCAAATTTGGATCCAGGTTTTCTAGTGGGACAGGGATATTCTTTCTGAAAAAAGAGTCTCAGTTTTGGGCTGTCCAGTCATAAGCACTTTAGAATTGCTTTTCAGAGGATTTTAGTTTTGACTTAAACATTCAGGATCTTTTATGTGTTGATACAGAGCTGTCTTAGGAGCTTGCCAATGTCCAGTCATTAGCCTTGTAATTCACCATGTCTGCAGTTGAGCTAATGCAACAGAGCAAGATTAAAAAACAAATCCAAATCCATTTTGGTATTTCTTTTTCCTTAACCTGGATTATTTCTGTGATCCATTTCAGGATGCAGCTTCTAAAACTGCTCAATATGCACAACTTTGCAGGTGACAAACTGCAGCAGCCAGGGCAAGGAACAGAGAGAGGGATTTTGTAATTGGCCTTGCCTCTGAGGAAAATGTGATGTGTCACTATGACAGTTATATACAGCCTAATACACAGTGCTGCATAGCTGGTTCCTGGCTGCAGATCTTAAGGATTTTGTCTTCCCTGCCACTACCACCACCACCTATGGCCTCACGTTGCGCTGCCACAGCTGTTTGTAACTGCACTGGGGATCAAACCAATGCTGGGATTAAAAGCAGCACCGTTTTTAGTAACACGTTTTTTTAACTGAGATCAGTTCGTTTTTCCAGTTTACTGTGTGGCCTTACATACTCTTGTGCTGACACAGCTGTTGAAAACGTACCTTTTTTGGTGGCAAGACAGGATATGGGAATTCCTACTGTTTTTGCTGGCTTGCCACCAAAAAAGAGGGACTGTATGTGAAACCACCCCCACTCCCGGTTATCCTGAAAGCAAGGCCAGTTGCTGAAATCTCGGCAATTAACTAGAGAAGCTATTTTTGAGCCTCAGGGAATGTCTCATACCTGTAGTTAGTGTGCTGCTTCGCTCTGTTGTTCTCCTCTTGCCTGGAGAACAGAACATTTTCTTGACATGTTTGGAAAGTAAGTTAGACCACTGCAGTTATTCAGCTGTAAGTTGTATTTGATGTATGTCCAAAACTGTATTTTTCAAGTGAGCTCCAGTGAATGCAGTAATAGTAGAAATCTTTCAATGGGCTTTCTGTTTAGTGAAATAAAATGAACAGTTGTTTATCACTGTGTGGAGTGTTTGGTATGCAGCCAATAATAATTTAGTAGTTAGTAAGAATTCTGCTAAAACATACATATTTATCTTGCTTTCTTTTCTTGAGTTTCTACTTTCTGCCATGCAAGAAATCATTCCAATGGTCCTAATGGCCATTCCATCACTTGCAAGTGAAATCTGGAATGCTATAAAACTTCATTTACCCTTTCCTCCGTCTCTCATTGTATATCCTTGCTGTATTCCCGAGACCACCTTAGATAATTTCTTTTTTTGCTTGGATTTAAGGCCATAAAAAGCTATGAAGCAATAACGTAAGTACTTGTGTGATGAAGATTTTTCATGTGGTTTTTCCTCGGGCCTTTTCCCCTCATCCAACCTGTATGTACATGATTAATGACCTCTCTTTGATCAAGCTTCTACATGCATTGCCACTGCAAGTTTTGCTTCGTAAAGTTACATTCAGGCATCTGGATTGCACATGGTGATTTCTTTAGGTTTTTTATCTAGAATCTTCCTTTGCATAAATGACAAACTGAAATAAAATAGCAGAAAAAGATCTTGCATCATATCTTAAAATATCATCCACGGAGATCTTGAGTTCTTGCAACTCCTACAAAGTTTGTGGAAGTTACAGGTGCTCAACATCACTCAGGGTCAGATACTTGGTTTCTTGTTCTTCACATTAATGTTTTTATTCGATCCAAAGCAGGTGCCATATTCTTATTTGCAAAACTACTTTTCTTTCCTGGATAAGGAACTAAGATAAGAGTATTAAATTCATTAAAATGGTTATCTATCACCATGGGTATAAAAAGCTGGTCTGCCCAGCTAAGAGAAGGTATGTATAGAACACGGTGCTTTATCAAGCTAAAGTATGGATTTGATGGGAAACAATAGCACAAACTCTGATCTCAGTCATGCTGCTGTAAATCCAGAGTTATTCCGTTTATTTGATTGACTGTGTGTGTCTTTAACAGTACAATTAAGAGCAGACTTTGGTGCTGAGATGTTAATCCTGTTCTTGGACTAGGAGCAACAGAAAGTCAGCGCAGTCAGTCAGGTCTGAGAGTGTTAATGAGGAGTTAGTTACAAGGCAATTACTACTGCCGGGAATGCTTAGTGCTTAAAGGAGATGTAGTTGCTTCTTTCAAAATAACTTCAACCCAGCCCTCAGTAAAGTTGAGGAGAATCCCGGGCATTGTGATTATACATTCCATTCTTGTGTGTCTGAACCAGCCTGGAATTTGTACTGATGCAGACTTCAATCACACAGGGTTATTTTTTCTTTGAAAGGGCATTTATGTGCATAGGGGTGCAGATAAATCTTGAATACACTAAGATCCAAGGTCTTTGACATCTCACCAGCTTCTGCATCTCAGTGCCCATGAGAACCAAGTCTGCAGTCAGAAGCAGTTTGTGCTTCTGGATGGGTTATAACATGCCAAACTGAGCCACAGGTTTCACTCCACAGCTCTTGAAGGAGCACAAAACACGTGTCTCCTTTCTATGGGTTTTATGTTTTACACAGCTTGGCTAATGGTTTTGCCAGGTTGAGCCATACACAGTTAATTACATCAATGCTAATTTTCTATTTCTTTCGCACTTACTGAGTGATTCAGGCTCATACTGTCATAACAGGATAATACAACAGTGGTGTCACTTTGTTCACAACAATTAAGGCTGTATGTGGACAGCAGGATTCTGGGGCCCTATCCTGGTGTCTGTCATGGCCAAGTCACAGCTTCAAGGCAGAGTGAGACTTGAATGCCTGTTGCTATCCTCATTCCTTTTGCCCGGTGCCCTTGCTCCTTTGAAAGGAAGCACACTCCAAACATGTCCTTGACCAGGGCCACCGGGGAGCCCACAGCCTCACGCACACTGTGATCCACACTTCCCATACCTTTTAGCAATGACCTTGCCCAAGGCAGCATTGTTTCCTGGTTTGTTTTAACTATTAGAAAAGAAAATGTCATTTAATGTCTAATCTGATCTTGCTTTATGTCAGGGAGTTTATACGTGTGGATGTCAATAGCCATTACTGTAGCAAGAGAGCCATTCCTGCACGTGGCTGTCTTCTACCCTTAGTAGAAAACAGCCCTTTCACTTTTGGATGCTGTTCTGACAGCGTTCTTGTTAAGCTGCTTGGTTTTGATAGCTAGAAAGATTCATCCCTTCCTGTTAAGTGGTCAGTTTAGTCCCTTCAGCATAATAACATATTCAAATGAATGTGGTGTCATGCAAGAGACATATGCTAGAGAGCAAACTCTATATTGTCACAACACTCACTGCCTGCTGAGGTTTGAGAATGAAATAGCAGTCCTCGTGATGGCCTTCAGGGAAAAGAGGAGCACATCTGGTAGCCAGCTCATGAACCGGCATTGGAAGCACTCTGGAAGCAGACAGACACTCTCAGCATTAACCACTCATAGATTTTGTATCATCATTATGTGGATTTTCTGAGCCTGCTTAAGACGGAGTTAGATCATCTGCTGGCACACACTGGAAGCACATTGATTTCTTACATTAATCTTTAAGTAGAAAAGCTTTTTATTTGATAGGCATGACTTAAGGCTGGTTTACCTGTGCTGTTCATACTGCCGTGGCTGACGTAATTGAAGAGTACAAACAACCAGAACAGACAAGTGAGATTAAATGCTTGTAGCGATACCTTCCCAAGGCCTCTGGAGCAGTGTAACTGCAGCTGGGGTGGAAAGGCTTTTGGACTTTTTAACTAAGTTGGCTTCTAATTCTAAACTACATGTCTCAGCCCAGA